GAAATTAGGTGCAGATGTTAATAAATTAGTCTAGCAACAAAGGAAATTCATTTCAGTTTGTTGGAAAATGTCCGAAATGCAAAGTGCTGTCGTTACAAGATCATATTAAAGTTATCACAACAGCAATTAGCGGCGAAGTTTAACTATGGGAAAACAAAATTTATTTTACCCTAGAACTCTACAGTATTTTCCTTGGGGGTGTAAAATATTGTACACGATACAATTAATCAGCTGATCTCATCGTTTGATAAAATCTATTTTTATTTATTTGTTTTGAAGCTCATATACAGTACACGTGCGATAAATAGTTTCTGTATCAACCTACCTTAATTCCACGATATTTTTAGAAAAATAATATCCAAGTCATTTTCGCAGGCAAAATATTCAAAAAACAATAAACGCATTAATGCAAAAATCAGTTTTACTTCCTTTTTCGATTCCGCGATTGTAATGAAATCGTCAACGAGAAAAAATAATAAAATCGTTTTATTATTAATTAATAATTTTCTCATTGTTTTCAATTGATTAAGAAAATATTACTTACTTACTTACTTACTTATTCTTTATTAGGCACCTTGCAGGTGCATTCCCAGTACCGTATTATACATAACTGAGAAATATATATACAATTTTTTATATGAAAATATAATTTACAAATGATAAAACCGCTTGACAAATTGTAGGAAGACAAAGTAAACAAGTTATACAATATCAGTATGAATTTTACAAATCGATACCGTGGTAATGAATAGAAATGGTTATACAGGTGTTGGGTGTACCAATATAGATATAATCTTACAGCTTGTCATGCAGGTTATTAAAAAGAAAGTACAGTACATAAGATAAAATAGAGGTGAACGAAAATTAACTAAAACTAACTTAAAACTAAACTTATGACTATCTTAAAACTAAACTTATGCTATATAACAATAAACTGAGCGTGTTGTATTCTAATCGTAATACAAACAGAATGTTATGAAATCTTGAGGCCGAGTGTCCACAGCACAGTTTTTCTAGTTTGGTGGTAAGTTTTGTCGAAGCTCATCAATGTTGAAGCCGTGTATACTTCATAACAGATATTTAGATAACACAGACTATCGACCATCACTAGTTTATGGAACCAAGTTGCATGTTGCACAGTATTTTCCTGATTGGATGGTGTATTCTTATCACACAGATGTTTAGATCACTCAGACTATCAACCAGCAAAAGTTTATGAAGCCAAGTCGCAAAGTTGAACACTGCTTTTCTAATCCAACGGCGTATTCTTATCCAATCACATCGATAATGGTCTTATCCAGTCACATCAATGCAAAGTTTCCTTAGACTTGCAGTAGGCATTGATTGTTACTA